TCTGAATTTACAAAGGGAAAACACATATTCCAGGGTAAAATATCCCAATGGATTTGGTTTCTGAAAAGGACTTGTCTAATTACACACATGTGCAAGGGTAACTTCAAAAATTTATTTGTAGGTCTTAATTCACAGAAACATTGGCACTTTACAGCAAAACAATTAGCATAATGAGAAATAAGTCACTGAGTGAGATGTGGTGTTTTGGACCAGCTACACAGCTCTATCTCTGCAAAGAAACAGGGTTCTGCCAAGACTCTTTGGTTTGGCAAGTGTTGTTCTGGACTTGTAGGAACATTTGGCGGCACCATCCAGAGGGATTTACTTGCAGCTGATTTTGTGGGGTTTTTGTTGGTCTCCTTGTGCAGTAAGCACAGCTTCAACTATTTTCATAACGTTTCTCTTCAACTGTTTTCATAACATTTTTCTAACAATCTGGAAAAACAGAAAGTAACAAATCCCAATGAGGGGACTTCTTGGTTCTACATCCTTTCTCTGTGGATCCCAAGCGGGGCTCTGGAGGTGACCTTCCCCCTTTCCCATCTGCAGTACTCAGGGAAGATCTGGCTACTATCCTGCCCTGAACCCATTTCCCTCTTGACCAAGGATTCCTCTTTAAATGGTGGAATAATCTATGTGGCTATGTGTTGGGCCCTCTGGGGTGGTTCTTTCCCACTTCGGATGGGCTCAAGAAAATTTTGATTTTTGGCATTTATCCAGCTTTTGTTTCATGGTTTGACTGAGAGTGCCATCCTTTACTGGTTTTGACATATGAAGGAGAAGGGGTGTTTATGAGATGTTTCAAAGTTCACAGGAAACATTTAACAAAAATGGCCATAGATTGAGCTTCAAGGCACAACATAATAAATTCCTGTGAGTTACAATCCCAGAGTATGTTCTCTTGTCCACATCCTTAGGGACTGGAAATCAATTGAAAAGGAAAGCAATGGGAAAGTCAGCACCTGCTCTGAAATTCAGCAATACACTTATAGAAAAAAATGCTAAAAATACCAAGACTTGGGACCCGGAAGAGAGAACAACGAATGGTAGCCTATATTAATATTAACAAGAATATTAATATGCCAATCTCTTGAGGAAATAAGCATTATCCGACTTCTACTAATGGCTGCCAATGCTCTGTATGACTTGATGTTAGGGACAAGGAACATAGATTAATCTAAGCTTTGGATTCATATCCCTAAAAGACCATGATTACAAACACTGCAAACAGAAACATCAGGTAAAGAATCACACTGCCGTTCCTTTAAACACCGGGTTGAATATCACAGGAAGGCTGCCGTGGGTTCAGCTTGGGTCACTCCCCCCACATTGGGACAATGACTGTTGCTCATAGACTGCAGGTCACTCATTGGCTGCACCGCTGTACACTAAGGCATGAGCTGTTCTGTGGACACTCAGTAATCCTACTGACACATACCTGGAAGTAAGGAAGGTTTCTGTTCAAAAAGAAATGAAAAAATTATTGTCAGAGCAAACAGAGAATGAATTGCAATTGTGATCTCAGAGTCGGGGAAGCTGGAAAATGAATGGATTCTTGAAAATTTTATTTAGCTACATATACACTGTAACTGGGCCTCGTTTGCTTATTTACATGGATTCATGATGAGGGAGGTGCTGAACACGTTTAGGAGGGTTACCTCTCTTCTTATGTCAGCGTATTCACTTTCTCTGTTGCCATATCGCACATAATGAAGTTCTGGAAAGTTCCACCATACAGTCGTAGGAGAATGAGAGTGAAAAAGGTAAACATCAGGACCTTGATAATATCATCATAAAATAACCGAGAAAGATAACTAATAAAAACGGCCATTTAGGAAACCGAGGAAATGAAACCCGATCACGGAAACACCCCCTACTTTTCCTTGGAGCATATTGCACTACAGATATATTGGAGTTGACAGTGTTCTGCACAGTGGGAAAAATGCTTGATAAACCACAGGACGCCACATGCCCCCCACGCCGGCAGGGTGCCACCCACCCCAACCTCCGGTGGGGTCCCCTCCCTTGGCGAGCCACTGGTCTTTAGGGCCACGTGCAGAGGCTCTGAAGAGAGCCTTTGGGTTTCCCGGGTGCTCAGGTGCTCCTGAGACAGCGCACTTGCTTTTGGTGTACCTGAGGGCGGCATTCGTGCCCTGGGCCTCAGCGAGCTTGCCCATCTTCCCCGGCAGCAGTAGGCGCACGGCCACCTGGATGTCCCGGGAGGTGATGGTCACACGCTTGGCGTAGCGGGCCAGGCGACCAGCCTCGGTGGCGATGCGGTCCAATATGTCATGGACCATAGAATCCATGACACTCACGGACTCCGGGGAAAGGCTGAGGCCCTGGTGAACCTGCTTCAGCACCTGGGGGAAATAGGCGGCAAAGCTGTCCCCGAAGCTGTCCCTGCGGCGGTTGGCATGGCGCCTGCGGGAACCTCGGAGCCCTCTCGTCTTCTTCTGGACGGTCGTGGAGTTGGCCTCTTTGGGCTCTTGGATGCTCTGGTCTTCCTCAGAGGTCGTCTTAGAGGAAGCCTCAGCCATGGCGGAGGCAGCGGCCATTAGATGGCAAGACCAGACAGTGACGGTTGTGGACCAGGGAAGGGGGGCACTTTGGTATGGCTGCCTGGCTCTACGTCACAGTCCAACTCGACGTCTGATTGGATGAAGTGTCACCCAGGGAGCCTGTCAACGATCCTCCCTCCATTGAAGGTGATTGGATGATCCTGTTGCTTGGCATCATGTTAGCCAATCACAGAGGGCGTCTGCCGGCCTCAGCAGCCCCTGATACCTACCTCAGACAAAGGAACACAGAGGCTTGCTCTGTCGCCCAGGCTGGAGTGCAGTGGTGCGATCTCAGTTCATTGCAACCTCTGCCTCCTGGTTTCAAGCGATGCTCCCTCTTCAGCCACCCAAGTAGCTTGGACTAGAGGCGTGTGCCACCACACCTGGCTAAGTTTTGTGTGTGTGTGTGTATATATGTGTGTGTGTATATATATGTGTGTGTGTGTGTGTGTGTGTGTGTGTGTGTGTGTGTGTGTGTATATAGTAAAACGTGGTTTCATCCCGTTTCCTCAGGCTGGTCTCGAACTCCTGGACTACAGCGATTCTCCTGCCT